TTTGTACCACCCTATACTCTGATAGCCTCTTTCTTTTGATCAGTACCACACCATACAATGAGCCAAATGCAGCTTTCAAGTAATTACCACAACTCAATTGAATTACTTTTGATTACAGTGGTGTAGCTAGAATTTGTCCCAGTGTGTTTTTACACAACTAGAAAGACTCAGGTTATTGATTTTGGGTCTCCTATAACTAAGTCTGCTCAACAAAAACCTCCTAACTTTACAATATAGTCATATATGGAGCATATTGTAAAGCAGTGTCTATGGAAAGTGTCATTAATGATTATTATACTCACTAGCATTACCCTTCGCATTGGAACAGTAGATGTACGCGTGGCGTCTTTCCTCCTTGCTGTTCCTAGGGATGGGGAGGCTTGGGCCACCTCAGGCCACATGGTCGCCTCCCACCCCACTGCTCCCAGAGGCAGTGAGACTTGGGCCGTGAAACCTTTTTCCTTTTCGCTGCTCACAGGAGTAGGGGGGAGGATTGGGCCTGTGCATCCTCTTCCCTCCCAACTGCTCCGGGGATGCTGGGGTGTGCACACTCTTCCCCTCCCCATGTTGGGGGTGGACATGCCCAGGTGGCCTCCTCCCTTCCTACTCCCTTCCAGGGCTTGGGAGGCTTGGGCCAGCTCAGGCCACGGCACCTCCTCCCTCTCCACTGCTCCTGGGGGCGGGGAGGCTTGGGATGTGCATCCTCTTCCCTCCCCACTGCTCTGGGGATGCTGGGGTGCACGTGCACTCTTCCCCTCCCTGTTGTGGGGGTGGGCACGCGCACTTGACATGCTGCTGCTCCTCCTCCCCCCCTCCCCATTGTGGGGGTAAGGCCTCAACAGAGAGGGCAGGGCTGTAGGTGGGGCTGTAGAAGAACTTTCCAGGTCTTCTCAAATGTTCTCTATGACAGACAGCATGATGGACACCTTTCCTTTTATGATAGTATAGATTTTTAGTTCAGAAGGAAACTGAGGATGAATGTGCTAGGTTTGCATATCGAAAATAATGTCCAATGGTACACAAAGGGAGTGTCAGGGGACTCAAAGAAAATCTTTAATTTAAGACACAAGTTTTATTACATATTTGTATAGTGCACTTTGGATAGCAATGCTTCATCCATTGGGTTTACAGCTTCTGCTGACTTGGCACACTTTGTGTGGGAAACTCCTCGTTATAGTGAAAGGGGATGACAGGAAGCATTTTATTAGGTCTTACTTGAAAAATGTCCCATAAGTTTCAAGGAGTCAGGACTATTGTCCAGCTAGCTACAGGAAGTCAGTGCATAAATCAGTGAAAATTAGCCACATTGCTAAACTCTATGGAATTGATGACAAAGCAGCAGCTAGTCTCCCACCCAACTATATACATCTTTTATTTCTTTATGAACTGAATGGGAGCCTTGATGCTCCCTTACCAACACTGATGAAATGCAATTATAGGACCTGCTTTAAGATCAATAATGTGCTGAGGTGATATAGAACCAGTTGTCCTGTGGGAATTTCTGCCAGAACACCCCTGTTCAAGGGGAAGTATGCTATCTACTATACCACTTCTTGGGGTGCTTTGCACATCCCTCTGGGCCACTGGAGGTCAGGGGCTTAAATCAATGCAAATTTTTCCTTTCTGGTTTGCTTTTGGTAGGCTTATGGTTTTTTAATTTTCAGATTGGATGAATCCATACTAAGAAGTAAACTTCAGCCCACATCCTCATCAGCAGAGCCAATGGCATCTGAAAGTAGAAAGGTCATAGAGCAGGGGTGGGCAATAAGGCAGACATGGTTCACGAGGGTTAGTCCCTGGCCGGCCGCTGGCACTTTATATACCTGCACCTCTGCAGGTACGGCCACTTGAAGCTCCTGTTGGAGATGAGGTGACCACATCTGATAGTGCACTATTAGTGGGTACTGCCATTTTATGGGAAGAGATCTTTAATTATCGATCACTGTTCCTGGCCAAGGAGAGCTGCAGGAAGTGATGTCTGGGTCCACATCGCTTCCTGCAGCTCCCATTGGCCAGGAAAGGTGATCTGCAGTAAAAGGGAGCTTCAAGTGGCTGTTCCTGCGGAGGTGAAGGTAAATGAAGTCCTGGTTGCCCCTCAGGGGCTAACTCTGGTGGATCACATCTGACCCGCAGGCTGATTATTGCCTACTGCTGTCATAGAGCTTGTTAACATTTTCCAGATGTCTGTTCATTGACAAAAAACTTTGAATTTCTATCAAAAACATTTTGATTACATTTACAGTTTTCCCCTCACCCATTTTCTGGCCATATGTGGTGAGGTGTTTGGCGCAATGCAGACATTTTGCAGTAATATTAAAGATAATATACATATTTTTCAATACAAGGTGGGCACTCCCTAAGCTACTTGGACTGAAGAGACTTCCGTGAACAAAGAGTTCCTTATAGATTCCAAAGTGAATCTCAAAGCTTCCAAATTTATCTTGAAATGTAGGTCTGGGGCTGGGAAAAATTTGCTGGCTAGATGCCCAGGTGATGGGAGCATCAGGAACACATAATTCTAACTAATTAACCTGGATAAACCCTTCTGTGAAGGGTTTTCCATTTCATCATGAAAATTTTTTACCGTTTGAGTTTTATCTGTGATAGCACAGCTTTTTGTTTGTTTTCTGAATTCGGTTGGAGGGTTCAGCTGTGATTTATTTTTGCCTAATTATAACATTCTGGAAAACAGTAAATTCCAAAATGGAACTTCAGTTGAAAGTTAGTTCAGTGTGTGCTAGAAATGTACATTTAGTAATTTCCATGTGTGGCTTTGAGAAAGGCAATTATTATTATTATTTATGTAACATCATAGATCTGTCCATGACACAGACATAAAATGACAGACTGTACCTTGAGGAATTTACAGTCCTACCAATTCATATGTGTTTAACTTTGTTCATGTGAGCAATGATAAGCACATATATAAACTTTGCAGGACTGGAACCTAATTTGGATTTTATACAGTAAAGATGACAACAAACAATAGGAAGTGGCGTAGGCCTGGGCAGGTTGAAGGAGAAAAAGGAGACTACTCTCTTATTGTTGACTCATGTTTTGTTAGTTCCTTTGGAAACTTTTTTATATAATAAATTAAAACATATTAGGTTTTGTGGGTGATGTTCAGAATAAAGGCCAGGGAGTGGTCAGTAATGGAAAGCAGACGAAAAGAACTTAGTCTTGAAGAAGGTTTTGGAAGGACAGAGAATGCGATCCAATAGCTGGAAGTTGAAGCTAGACAAATTCAAACTGGCAATAAGGCATTAATTTTTAGCCATAAGGGTAATTCACCATTAGAACAATTTACCAAGGGTTGTGATGGATTCTCCATCTCTTACAACTTTTAAATCAAGATTGGATCATTTCCTAAAGGATATGAGCAAGGAATTGTTTTGGGGAATGTCTATGGCCTGTGTAATACAGGAGGTCAGACAAAATCACTGGTGGGCAATAAAATGGTGGCGGTTCACTAGGGTTAGCACCAGGTAGGCTGCTGCCACTGTATTTACCTGTGCTTCCACAGGCCTGGGATATCATAGCTCCCATTAGGGGTGGATCGCCATTCCTAGCCAATGGGAATGATAGGAAGTGGCATGGACCAGGACACCACTTCCTGAAGCTCTTGTTGGCTGGGAATATAGTACTGGGGACCCACCAGGGGCTAACCCTAGCAGACTGGACCTGGCCTGTAGGCCAGAATTTGCCCACCCCTTGACTAGATGATCAAAATGGTCCTTTCTAACCTTGAAATCTGGTGCATAAGGACAGAGTGCATATTAGAGGCATAGGGGGAAAATCAGGCATGACTAGTGGGAGGAAATAGTGGAGAAATCAAAACACTCTACTGTGTGCTGCAGCATGTGATCACAAGCAGACAAGGGGTAAGAAAAAAGATGTAAGCAGAAGAGCCTTGGGGAGTCTGAATGTGACACAGACAGTGGTGAAAGTAACAGCTTAAAATGTCGTACAGGTACTGTCCTATTGCAACACGAGTCCCTGCCAGCTCTTTAAATAGCTCCCTGCTGGCTTTTGCTTAGCCAGCTCTTGCCAGAGCTGCACACCATGATGCACCCACCTCTGAACACAGAATTCAAGTGGAAATCAATACAGGACCTCAAAGGCTCAGGGGAACCTCAGCTGAGACACAGTGTGGGATGGATCTTCCCAATGTTAGGGCAAGTTTTGGGTGAATTGCCAGAATGTAATTAGTGTGGATGAAATCTCAGTCCCATCAAAGTCAATAAGAAGTTTCACATTGAGCTCACTAGGAACTGCATTTCACCCTTTGACACTAGATCAGGAAGGTCAGCTTAAGGTACACAGCTCCAGCTATGCAAAATGCATGGCTGGAGTCATCTTATCTTAAGCTGAGATTTGGAGGCATCCACACAGCAGAAGGCCGATGAGAGCATACGCTATTGGCTTCCCTTACTTCTCACAAAAGGAGGAGTGCCAGACATCCACGGGAGCCACCCTCAGTGTTCAATTTAAGGGTCTATACTAGTTCCACTAAATCGAATGCCAGAAGACTGACTTTGTCAATCTTCTGGTAAATATAGATGTTCTTTGTGTTTTACTGACCCACATTTGTGACAAATGACAAAACCAGGGATGTGTCTAGACCAAAAGCCTGAATTCAGGTTCAGAACCAGATTCATAAAGAGATCTCTATAAAGAGACAAGACTAAGCACTGAATAGGTGAACCCTGGACTCTGGGAATTTGCATTAAATTCTGAAGTTCAAATCCATGAGCTAGAAGCGCTTATATCTTGGAGCTTTGGGTTTGGCCCATCACTTGAGCGTGTTTAGCATTTCAAGCCAGAACTGGGCCAGATTCTTTTAAAAGTTGACGTGGGCAGAAAATTTCAAAGAAAAAATGGGGTAGGGAGAAATGGTGGTATTTTTTTGGAGATTTTTGTTTGTATTTCAGACTAGTTATAATTTAAGAACGAATAAAACAGAATGTAAAATACTAACTACTGTATGGTTCTCACTTCAGATTTGACATTTCCTGTATGATTTCCTACATACAGCTGCATTAATAGCAACGACAGACTTAGGCCCTCATTCAGCAAAGTTCCACAGGGCAAGAATATGAATTCGCCACTAATCTTTAAGCAGCTACTCAGGTAAATAAATGTAGACACTTGTTTACATGTTTGGCTGAATTGAAGTGAAACAAAATCCAGTGAAAATCTGTTACCCAGACAAAGATATACTTCTTGAGAGGACAGATAATTGTGTGCAAAGAAATGTAGCAAGCAAGTTATCTGCACTAATTGAGCTAGCACACGGTCTTAAAGGATTTAGCATTTTTTCAGGCTAGCAAACATTCAACTGTTTTAAATCAGTGGAGCTATACTAGATCAGTCAAAATGACTGTAACACAGCGTGACACATAGCAGCAGCAGCAGCAGCAAACTACCTTTTTACTGTTTGCAAACCACACCGACTTTTACAGCATTCTTTCCTAATAAACTGCCGGGAAGCACACTACCTTTCTGTCTTAATGCCTTTTACGTAGCTCTTCTCCTCAGTCTGTCACTTTGATCAGACTTAGCAGTAAAGACCCGAGGATGACTAAGAGTCTTGGGAATTGAGTTCTTTCTCCGCTCTCACTCACACACACGCAAAAGGCACACACAAACACGTTTTCATTTATTTGTTATTGACGCAGCATTTCAGTAAGTGATCCCTACGGCACATGTACTTAACGGACACACTACACAAATATTTGTATGTGTAAAATAATCAAGGAAACAGACTCATGTTTATTATTACTGAATCAGCAGCAGCCTGACAGATTAAAAACATCCTCTGTTCCCCATCCCCCTCTTCCCCAATCTCCTGTTGTGAAAGTGCCAATGTTACAAACTCTCCCTGCAAAAGAAGGTGGGGTGTATGTATGGAGGGGGGTGGGTGGAGAATGAAGAAAGCAGTGACCTGCTTGATCTGGGTGATCTCAGTCTCTCAGGTTAGGTCTCCTGGCCTGCATTCAAAACCCCAGCACATCAGCCACAGAAATTTGGAACCAATTGGATTGGGAAAGAATACAGTAAATGTCTGTTTCCGGTTCACAGGGCCCTGAGCGTCAGCACATATTTTGGAAGTCTGACTGGCTTCCTGACTTTGAGAGTCTCTTGGTTTAGGTATCAGGGAGCAACAGTGAGAGGAAAAGAAAGCTAAAGCCCCGTGGATTGTTTAGTCACTTTAAAAATAACAGCAATAATAATATGTAGGCCCTAATGTAAGTGAGTAGTGGAGCTTTCTATTTCTGCCATTTGAGTGACCTATGGTACATTTACCAGACCTATGGTAAATGTGTATATGCTTAGATTAGAAAGCACATTAGAGAATGGGGAGCTGAATTCTTTTTCCATTCATGTCAATAGCAAAACTTCCCCTCATTTCAATGGAATCAGGATTGAGCTCGGAAGCCACATGAGAAAGCCTTGTCAGCCCTAATACTGGTTTTTCAAATCAATTTAAATGGATGCAATCCCCTATGTGAACACACAATTTGAGCTTCAGTTTTTCATGTGTGAAGGGAGAGATTTAGAATGTTTTTAGATGTTGTTGTAAAACTATTTTGGACAGCACACCATGCAAAGCAGTGGAGCAGAAAAGGACCAATGCCACTGGGAGGAGCACAGTAGCATCGCCGTATCATATTGTTACAATAGCTCATCATGTAATGCTGCCGCTGCGTCAGCTGTTAGCAAATGAAGTCCTAATGCAGACTCGTTCTAGAGCTAGAGGATAGGGGTTTTCCAAAATTTTCCATCAAAGAAAGATGGGATTCAACTAAACACGCAGTTGCTTTTGTGGAAAAACTTGCCAGCTGTCTACACTGGCCGCTTGAATTTGCGCAAGAACACTGATGATCTAATGTAAGATTGTCAGTGTTCTTGCACAAATACTATGCTGTTACAGTTCGGGAAAAAGCCCTCTTGCGCAAATGTATTTGCACAAGAGGGCCAGTGTAGAAAGCTAAAAACTGTTTTGCGCAAAAAAACCCTGATGGCGAAAATGGCAATCGGGGCTTTCTTGTGCAAAACCGCGTCTAGATTGGCACGGACGCTTTTCTGCAAAAAGTGCTTTTGCGCAAAAGTGCCCATGCCAATCTGGACACACTTTTCCGCAAATGCTTTTAACGGAAAAACTTTTCCGTTAAAAGCATTTGCGGAAAATCATGCCAGTCTAGACATAGCCAATGTTTTTCCCTCAAAAGCATTGGCTTTCCATAGAAACTTGACTTTTAATTGAAAAACTGAACACCTAAAAAGTGAAAAATTGGATTTGGCTACCCTAGCCTCACCACATATGTCATGATACACCATGGCCAGGAACCCCCATGATGTCTTGCTGAGGTGCAACAGGTGGGGCGACTGTAGTACACCAAGGGAGCCCCGCCAGGTCCATGCTGGTGAATGGGATCATGGAGCACCTGAACTACAACTGCCATGCGGCATCCCTGTGGCATTTTCAAATAGAAGCTTTCAGTTTTCAACCAAAAGTTTTGGTGGAAACATTTAAAGCTTGGACTGAACTTTGTTTTTTCACCAAAAAGTTGAATTTTTTTGCAGGGAAAAAAATCTCATTTTCTGACCCACTTATCTCAGGAGTTACATTTTGCTTGAAAAAAAAAAGAAAGAAAGAAAAAACCTAACACCATATTATTTGAAGTTTTAGGCACTATTATTTTTCTTGTGTGTTTCAGCTGGATGGTGGCAGGTTAAGAAATTCCATTGTATCTCAGAAATCCAGATCATAAATATAAATGATTCAGAAAATGCCTTGGTTTGCCCATGCCTGGTAGAACTGTTTGTTTCTCCAGCTTGAAGAGAACAGAACTGAGCTTTTGTATTTTGTATTTTAAAGACTCATGTTATATGTTTGCTCCTTGGCAGAATGACAGCTATGAAGTGAATGAAAATACTTCAACCACAACTGAGTGAGTGAATGGGAGGAAGAGCCATTGGAAAAAAAACCTTGCTTTCTATTGGCTTATTCATGTGGCAAAAAGACCAGAGGCCTTTGCTATGGAGGAAGAGACTTTTCTAAAGTTGTACATCTGGTTTCTAAGTAACTTCTGGGGAAAAAAAATAGTGATGAACATTTTGAAGTGAACATGCCACCCATATTCTGACAGAATCTGAATATTCTAAGGCTTGCTTTCTGTCAGCAGCACCTGTGCTCCTTTATCATCACTCATGGCACACCATCACAGCATAAACAGGACAAATGTGTTACACCATATACGCTACGTGATCATTTTGGGGGTTCTCTGAGACACCATTCCATGCAACATCTTCTCTCATGTCTTTCCCAGCCTGGACTGATTCTAGTGAGGAGAACTGTAAGCCTTTTTTTCCCCTCAACAGATTTGGGGTAGGACTGGCATCACATAGTTTCTGGCTTTCCTGCATAGTCTTACATGTCAGGTGGCAACAGGTAGCATTTTTCTGATTAGCAATGTCTGAGGACAGACAGAGTGAGCAGAGTGCCAGTCATATCTTGGTCTCTGCAAAGACCTCAGACCAGTGTTTCTTAAACTGTGTTCTGGACGCGAGACAAAGAAAAACGGAATTCAAAATGGCCACCCTTAAAGGGGCAGGCAACTTTTTTTTCTGCTCAATAACTTTCCCCCAACCCTTTTTTTTCTGAATAACTCCACCCCCACCCCTCAGGATCCTTTTCCCCCTCGACTTTTTTTTTTCTCAACAAAAAATCCTAGGTGTTCCTCAAAAAAATTATTCTTTGGTGTTCCTAGGTCTTAAAAAATTTAAGAAACACTGCCTCAGACTGTGACCTGAACAACCACTTGCAACTCAATAGCCAATGCTTGCTTTCCTCCAGATTCAGGTAACGCATTTCTTAACTAAATTCTTCATATTGTCACAATTCAAAAGCAAACTGCCACTCCATAACTACCAACGATGGACTTGATGCAAAACCTTGCATCCAAACCACTGATATGGATATGGATCCAAGTTCAAATCTCAAACTTCTCTCTCTGAGGAGTTGTATCTAAACACAAGAACTTAATCAGATACAAATTTAATCTCAAGTTAAGGCACTGTGATGGGGTGTCTCCCCTCACTTGCCTACGAAGAGTTAAATCCAGCCCTAGGAGAGGGCTGGGGCTGTGGAGCAAGCAGCTGCAGGAGACAGCAGCTTATTAGGCCCAGTTGAGGGTTGTATAAATAAGGGCTCCTGAGGGAGAAAAGACTCACCCACTCTTGCTCTAGCTGTGGAACAGTAGAGTCTAGCTGCCATGTAAGTTAGAGGCTTCTTGACACAGAGCAAGGCTGGGATAAGGCAACAAACAGGCAGAGCTGGGAAGGCTCTCAAGGCCTGAGAGTACTAGGGCTGCAGGGAGACAGCCATGACAGCAGAAGGCAGCAGGTCCTCACCCCCTTGCCATGATGAGTGCTCATTTCAGACTGCAATTTGCCCCTGATGTAAGGGGCTTGATGATGACTGTCAGTAGGGTCATTGAGGCAAGATGGGCACAGAGAGTTTCCTAGGAGGGAGGACCCCAGCATGTGAGAATACTGCAGCAGAGCAGTACCCAGAGGGCAGGAGGCCACCGCCTGGAAGGGAGGTGGGTCCTAATGTAAAATGGCAGAACCATTAATGTATAAACAGTGTACTGCAGTCGAGACACCAGCCGTAAGAAGGCACTCCAGAGCTGAGCAGAGCTGACACCCTTTTACATGTGGCAGTGAATGTGGGCAGTTGTGATCAACCCCTGGTACAAGAGGACTGGTATGGACTAGGTGAACTGTGCCAAAAGAGACAGAATTGTGGATGGCACAGACAATGGACCCCATGTATATGAAGATCTTCTTTGCAGAGGGCTCATGTGCGGTTCCTGGCTGGACTCCTGTGTCAGGGCCCCAGCAAAAGGAGACTAACGGACACCAGGAAAGGCTGGAAAGCCTGCTGCAGGAGTTTGGGGAGAACCAGCATAAGCAGCGTGGGAGGCAGTGGGCACTGCAGGAACAGTTAGAGCAGCTGGTGATGGAACAGCAGGCCCTGGTAAGACTCTGTGGACTCCTGTGGGGGAAGTACAGGAGCAGCTGCCAAAGGCAGAGGGAGACGCCTGGGGCCAGGAAGCCAGCGACTGAGATGAGGACTAGTTACCCTTATGGTGTTGTGGACACCTGTGGAGGGCTTGTCACTATTGGGATGGATGCAGAAAGTGTCATCCAAATATAAGAAAGGGACAAGGCCATACAAGAACCCCTTGTGGGTGGATAGCCAGGAGGAGAGGACATGCTGGGCCTGTGGACAACAGGGGCATCTATGGAGGGGTTGCCCTGACCCACAAGGTACGGCCCAGGGTAGCCCAGAGAGGTCAGGACCCAAGAAAGAACAAGGGAGATCCAAGGCCAGGAAGAGGGGAGGGATCTGCTTCTCATGCCAGGAGTGCGGCCATATTAAGAGGCACTGTTCCCAGCCAGGGCTGGCCCGAGCCCTTTTGGCACCCTGGGCCCGGGCGTGCGGTGCCACCCCTGGGCGCAGGGCACATGCGCAGGCCCACCCGTGGGGCGTGGGCCCACCCCCCCCCCGGGTGC